TGAGGGAAGATGAACAACTTTAATAATTGACCAACGCGTTTTGGCTTGTCGCCTTCATCAGGGTCATGATGAAAAAACCTTTTCTACTTGGAATTTATGTTTTTTGTCTGATTTTAGATCAATTTTGTTAATACAGTATGTCAAAATGAAAGCATAACTGTAAATTCAAACACGTGAGGTTGTGCTGAAAACAATGATACCAAACAAGGCAAAGTAAATAGATTTTAACGGTGAAATGTAGAGGAAACATCAAAAGTAGTGAAAAATGGCCAATTATACACTGGACCCCAGAGGGTTAATTTTTTTTTAAAAGTAACACAATAGTTACTTTTCAAGTAATTAATTGCTTTTAGAATATTGTAACTCAGTTACTAACTCAGTTATGTTTAAGTAACTAGTAACTATAATTAATTACTTTTTCAAAGTAACTTGCCCAACACTGATGACAGTACATTTAGAAAAAGACTGAACAGTATGGCTTGTTTGGAGGTTTTTTTTGAACAATCCACAAAACCTCTCTAACAAAGTCCTTTGAACAGATTAGACCGAAATGGAGTTGTTTAGCAATATTGCACAGCAATATTTGTTGAAAACACCAATCCATCCATCCACTTCAGCTGGAGTCTATCCCAACAACATGAGGGTGAGATTGGTGAAAACATATCAGTACAAACACCTCATACTAACTGGAGGGGGAGGGGTGATGGGCTTATTTTGTAAATACAGTGTATGGGAGCCTTGCAATTCCCATTCAATCCTCTGTATACCAAAGTGTACTAGAGTGAAATCTGAGGCCATCTGTCTGCCAACTAAAGCCTGGCCAAAATTGGGTAAGTGCAATACTACAATCCCAAGCCAAGCCAAATCTACAACAGACTGGCTAAAAAAGAGAAAAGAATAAAGCAGTGGTCTAGTCAAAGACCAGAACTCAACGTGAATGAAATACTGTGTCGTGACCATAAGAGAGCTGAACATAAATAACTGCTCACAAACCTCAAAAAGTGAAGGAACTCTGTAAAGAAGAGTAGATCAAAATCTCTTCACAATTTCAATTTCTTATGTGAAAGACTGACAGAATCAAACATAAAATTATTATTTCAGGTTATTGCTGATAAAGGTGCTTCTAAAGTAACTGAATCAAACGTTGTTTTTCCACATCCTTCACAGAGCCCCATGAAAGCTTTTTGTCCACATATATGTAAAACAGATGAACAACAATAAGCTACATGAGCTTAGAATTTGATTTCTTTAACCTCGCACATGTTATTTTAAAATGCTTGCGAATGTTATGTCCAGCACAAATACAAACATAAACATTAGAACAGGAATAAACACACATGTAGACTTTGATTTGGTTCTGCTGGCATATTTATTTATTTATGAAGCTATATTATTACTAAATTAAATAGAAATAAATTAGATGGGAATCTACATTACATGACCACAAGTATTATATTCAACTATTCTAATATTAAGCAGTAGCACCTGGTAAGTAAACTCATTTTTATTGGTACTTCTGATCCAAAGTAATGAAATGTAGCGATAACTTTGCTGACAGATTATCTTGCTGAAAACGACCTAGTTTACTGGAAACTTTTCTAAAAATGTTTAAAATGTAGTAAAAATGCTGCAAAAACTTCATCGAAGCCATCAGGAGTTGTGCTTGAAATGTACCGTTTGAGGTAGCCATGTTGATCTTGCACATGTTGCGCTCAGCTGTACTGAATCAAATACTCCGGATATATTTGATTTGGATCAAAAATGACAAAAATTCTAGGATGATTGACAACATCAACACAGCTGTCATGCAAGTTTTCGGGATTCTCATGATCGGGTTTTTGGAAATGAGATTGTCCAGCAACTGGTTTTCCAGTCATCACCCGAGCCAAAAATATAATTTTAGTTTCTCCAGAGTGTACAGGTTGTGTTTTCCCGCCATAAACTGGCAGTGGTTCCAAGCTGCTCGGACTGTATACGTCGGCTAATGCTGCATGTTTGGCAAAATAAATTCCTACGTAAAAAAAGAAACTTAGATCAGCTGGGAAGAAAAAAGACAGAAGAAATGGTAAAGAGTTAGAAATTCAGATTTGCACAAAACAATGAACTTACCTTTGCCATATCTGTTGCCATGCTGTCCAGCTAACCGTACATCAAAGTTATACTTGCAAATGTAATCCACATTTTTGATATCAGTCCCATGAAAGAGTCGTCTCTCTTGAATTTCTTTGATGCCTTGAATCCTCATCAGCTGTTTCTTTTTCCTTTGATGCAAATATAAAAATAATGGTAATAAAGAAAAGAAATTATTAACAAAAAACATAGTGTAAAACTTAACTTACCTGCAATATAATTCCCAAAGATCCAAATTCTGTATCCTGTTGATTGACAGAATGGTTCGGTCCAACAGCCCATCGGTCTTTACATAATGTTTCACTGTCCAATACTCGGGGGAGTGCTCACTCAGAGGGATTAACTTTAAAAAGTATCCGAAATCAGTTATTACTGAAATATCTGCGGTTTTAATCTATGCTTCTAACTGTATTGTATATTTGTGCTCTAGCTGTAGATATTTTCGACATTAAGCAACATTTTTGTCACCTGGTATGGCGATTCGGGATCAAACGATTCCCAGAAAACAGGAGCAAGGCTGAAACAGGAACACCTGCTGGAGGAGAGTTAAGTTTCCATTGTGCTGAAACTTTCACTTTCATTTTGATAGAAACTATACTGACACTAACTTGTAAACCTCACTGCTGTTACAATTGAGAATGTACATTTCTTGTTTACCTTTTTTCTGTGTTGTAGCTTCTCCTGATTCTTTTTTGCCTCCCTGCGGTGAGGTCTGTCAGTAGCATCGCTGCACAAAAACACATGTATTAATCTGAGCTAAGTTCTTAATGTGTGAATGAAGACTGTGAGGATGAAAATGCACAAAAATTACCAGAGAAATCAATCTGGCCCCTGTAACTGAAAGATGATGTGTTTAAAACAGCCTTGGAGTTTTTCAGGTAAAAATTTTCAACAGCCTCACTGCTAAAGGGGAGATCGGGGTCATCCTACAGAAAAGGGACAAGAAACTAGAAACATAAGCTTTACTTGACAGTATGGAACCAGATAATGTGATCTAAAGAAATACACAAATTACCTCAAACTGGTGCCACTGTCCACAGTCAGCAAGGTAATACCAGCACCAAGGGGTGTCAGCTGTATCCATATATTCCACTAATGTATTTTCCAACATCTTTTGTTGCTGTTTCTTGTTGTCAGAAATGTAACTGATTATATCACAGAAAAAGCTGAAAAATTAACCTGCTTCCTCTCTATGACTTAACTACTGGTGTTTCTGACTCCTCATGATTCAAATCTCATTCATAGACACACCTTCTACATAGCCCTAGAAGGCAAAGTAGATCATGTGACATTACATGCACAATATAATTTGTTTTCAGTCTTCTAACCTGAAAGATGGTCTACAATAATTATTTTATGTGTTTAAATTGAAAAATTTATTAATTGTGACATGCAAATTACAGACAAGTATAGCTTAACACACGCATAGCTGTAAGATGTTCCCCCCATACATTTAATATAAATAAACTCAAAGTACCACAAGTGCACCACCTTGTGGCATCACCTTGTGCAGGTCGAAAACACATACAAACATGGTCATACAATTAATTGAACAAATGCACACAAAAAAATAATTTTACATTACAGTACAACAAGTGTGCTGAGCACATTTTTTTGTTTTGTTTTTAAAATTATACAAAGTGCAAAAATAAACCTGCGTTACTCAGGTTTTAACATCAAACCCAGATGACTTGGAAATTAAATTCAATGTTGAATTGTTACAATTTTAAAAATCAACTTCATTGGAGGCAACACGGTGATGCAGTGCTATCACCTCACAGCAATAGGGTTTATCCTGCCTGGGGCGTCCCTGTGCCTTTGTGGCAAGGAAGTAGCGGGAAGGCCTGGCTCACAGTCTCTGCTCTAATTCATTCCAAAGGTGTTCTATCAGGCTGAGGTCAGGACTCAGTGCAGGCCAGTCACATTCTTCTACACCACACTCCCTCATTCATGTCTTTATGGACCTTTCTTTGTGCACAGCCATGTTGGAACAGGAAGGGGCCATCCCCAAACTGTTCACACGAAGTTGAGAGCATGACATTGTTCAAAATGTCTTGGCTTGGTATGCTGAAGCATTATGAGTTCCTTTCACTGGAACTAAGGGGGCGAACCGACTCCTGAAAAACAACCCCACAGCATCATTCCTCCTCAAACAAACTTTACACTTGGCACAGTGAGGTCAGACAAGTACCGTTCTCCTGGCAACCACCGCAGCAGCTCGGCCATGGAAATCCATTCCATGAAGCTCTCTATGCTGAGTTTCTGAGCCAATCTGAAGGCCATGAAGTTTGGAGGTCTGTGGTGATCAACTCTGCAGAAAGTTGACAACCTCTGCGGCACTATGCCCCTCAGCATCAGCTAAATCTGCTGTGGGATTTTATGTGGCCTAAGACTTTGTGGCTAAGTTGCTGTTACCAATAACAGTTGACTATGGAATATTTGGTAATGAGAAAATTTCATGACTGGATTTGTTGCAAATGTGGCATCCTATCACAGTACCACACTGGAATTCACTGATCTCCTGAGATTGACCCATTCTTTCACAAATGTTTGTAGAAGCAGTCTGCACGCCTAGGTGCTGGATTTTACAAACCTGTGGCCATGAAAGTGATTGGAACACCTTAATTCAATATCTGCACTGCTGGGTGAATACTTTTGGCAATGTATTATATATCTTAGGCTAATTTGTGATCCTAGTTTGGCCATACATGTGGATGTGAGTATGAATGATTGATTGCTTCTCTGTTATGAATGTGACAGACCCAAAATAATTTAGAAAACGGATGGACAGACGAACTTGGTTGAAAACCCCAATGAAATTCAGCGGTCAGAAAAGATGCACAGAAACGAATTGCTCAGGGACGACATCACACATTTTACATGTTTATGTCAATATGACACAATTACAAAACCTTTCATGGAAAGTGCAAGATAAAAAAATGCAGAGGTAGGAGCGTTTTTATGACAAAAACATGAACAAAAATCCATGCTTATATAATACATGGTACTACTAGACACAGATTTTCAGAACATGGTGCAAAATGAGTGAGCAGAGCATGTTCTTGGATTTATAAAGAAGCATATGTATGGCACTGTGGAAGTAGAGGGAGTGATGGAGCCGGTGGTCGGATATTGCCTATGATCTACAGGCTGCAAGCACCACTCTTATTTTATCTAAGCAAATGTGCACACATATTCAGTAAGCAAGCATAGACTCAGGATTAAAGATAAAAACAGCACAAAGACTGTCTTCGGTTAGCATCTTTTGAAGTCATGGAAACGTTCTAATTTCTGGGTCCAATTATGTATGCTGTACAGTATACAATTTGACACAAAGTCCTTACTGTCTTACCAACTTCTTCAAAGGCACTTAGATGACCCATGCTCCATTCAGTCATGGAAATCAATTATCCTGTCATCTAATTTCATATCCTAGCTTTTCCAGCCTTTATTAAAAAAAAAAGTTGGCATCATTTTCTTAGGCATCAGTAGAACTCAATCAGATACTCTGGATAAATCTGATTACTGTCAAAAATGACATAGATCTTTGGATTGGCCATATCATCCACACAACTGTCATAGAAGTTAGTGAAACTGGCATCCTTAGAGGGTGGTCTGCAGTACATTGGATGACCAACTGTGTATTCTCCAACAAGCACTCTGGCCAGGAACATGGTCTTATAAGGCGGCTCACTCGCAAATATCGGTGGTGCGAGTCCATGTCTCTGTAAGGTCGTGTTGTGTTTCCCTGTGGTGTGACAGAATTTACTGGAATATTTGGCATCGCGGGCAAAGTAGCTCCCTGCAGGAAAGACAAGAGCACAATGTTAAAACTGGACAAAAGGAGAGTAGCAAAGTCTTTCATGATACAACATAAAAGATCTACCTTTGCCATAGACATCGCCATGGCTTCCTGTGAGCCGCCAGTCAAAGTTAAATGTACATATAGCTTGTATATTGCTGTGTCCCGTGCCATGAAACAGCATTCGTTCCTCAATATCCAGTGTTCGCTTGACTTTTCGCAACTGTGTTTTCTTCCTTAGAGGAGCACCAAGGAATGACAACATAAAACAAATAATGACTTTGATACTGCATGACTGTACAAAGTTTGATCAGTGAAAAGTTCAGCAACTTTTCCCATAAAGAGCAAAAATCATACCCAATTTAAATTTTGCCCCATCTATGCAATTCAGGATTTTCACCTTGTGCACCTCTATATCACTTCCAGTACTGCTGCTATTTTTAGATCATTTCCTGGAAGGCCTGCTTGGACCACTTGTACACAGTGCAGAAAGCAAACTTCAACTAAATTCAAACGCATTAAACAGTTTGGAAATGGCTGTGGGCTGTCAGCTGTGAAGATGAATACCTTGCACCAATGCCCCTAGTCTCTAGCACTTGTGGCTCAGGTGGTAGAGCGCATTGTCTACAGACTTGGAAGGCCAGTTGGTTTATCCTTGACTCCTACAGTTTGCATGCTGAATTATCTTCGGACAAGACACCAAACCCCGAGTTGACCCTGATACATCAGTCGCAGAGTGAATGTGAGAAAGGGCTTAGGTATAGATAAAAGAAGTGTATGAATGTATGTGTGAATGGGTGAACGACACTTGTAAAGTACTATTTTAAGCAGAAAGGTGCAATATAAGTACCATTAAAACAATAACAATATGAGAACAATAATAGAAACTGACCTATGTGGTTAGGAAAAGATCATCAGAATTATTTGATTTTTCTGGAGCTATTAAAGACTGGGCACGTTGAGGAACTGGAGAGAGAGTGAAGCAATGAAAATATGCAACTAAATTTGGGAATGTATACAGTATAGACTATCCTGTACTTTTTTTTGTATTTTATTTTATATTGTTTTTAATTTCCTTTAGTATTATTAATATTATTATTTTTTTAATTATTTTTTTATTTGTTTTTTGAATGTCTTGTGTTCTTAGTGCTTTCTTACTGCCATATGTTTAAGGTGTTTAAAGTGTTGGATGTTTATGAATACAAAATTCAACACATATATGTTTACAATAAGAACAATAATAATAACAACAGTATAGTAATTTATTGTGTGTTGACAGGTTAGGATGTGCTAGCAAGTGAAAAAGACTGAAAACAGCTTTTGTTTCTGACCCAGTCACCTTGCATTATATTCACCTTGTGGATTCCCCACGAGGTGAATATAATGCAATGCAGGTAAGTTTAATCTAACAATTTATAAGAAATATGTACAAACGTGGGCTTTGAAGTGGATAAGGTTCCAGTTCCGCTGAATGGTTATTATCAAAAAAAAAAAAAAAAAAGTCCTCTGCCTTTTCAGGAGGCCGGAATGAGCAGCCAGCTCAGAAACCTCCCAATCACAAAGCGTTTTCAGAGGTATATGTATAAAACAACGCCTTTTAGTGAATTAATTTGTTCAACCGCGTCCCACGGGGTCAAACTGGCATTACATTTCTGGGGCATTTTTGAGAAAAAATTTGGCACAAACACCCTGAACTGTAGCGGTTGCCAACATGCCACTGCACGCCCACACAGCCAGCACTGTAAAAGCAGGAGTTTTACTTCCTTTGCCCTATTCAAAAGACTTTGTTTTCCTTTATAAAATGAAAATTAAATTACATTCAAGTTGAAGAGATGCCTTTTTGACACAGTGCAGGTGATCCAGTGTGAATTACAGATGCATACTGGCAATTTCCATGAAATGATCTAGAAACAAGTGCACATTGTGCACAGGAGACGAGCTTGAAGAAGACATCGGCTGAAAGGGGTGGATTCATGGAATTCGGTTCAATTCTTTAATTTATGCTAAGAAAAAAGCCAGCATCTTTATTGGAAGTTTGGGAAAACTAGAATTTACAATTTTCCCAGTGTCACTAATGGAGTGCAATTTAAGTGTAATTAAGGCAGTATATACAAGGAAATATTTTTCCTCACAAAAATGTAGAAAATAATATTCTACCTGCAGAAGAACTCCCATAAATCCAGGTTCTGGATCCTCTGGATGGATTTAATTGGATGATCCATTGTTCTTTCATACAGTCTGGCTACTTCTTTAAATTCATATGTGTCTCTGCCAAGCTGGATGAGCTGCAAAGGCAAGAAACACTCACACAGCTCTACCCTTTTCTGCAGTGTGTTTCATATTCCTCTTTTTCTCTCTCATTTGCAAATGTTTGACCTCAGACTGAACAAAGTTGGGAACTTCTGGACTGACAAAACACCGCATACAATCACATGCACACCTGTCTAAAAGTTTTGACCAGTCTGCCACTATTTTTACATCAGAAATCAAAAGAACATAAAGGTATCGTCTCAATACTAAAAATGTGTGAACGAAGCTAAGTGGAACAATAAGATGTGTTTCCGTACTTCTGTACTCACTTGATAGGGCTCATCTGTGTTTATTCTTTCCCAGTGACAGGGAACAGGCAAGGCGAGATTATCACAAATAAACCTGGGAGGATCAGCAAAGGAGAAGAGTCAGTAAACCAATCACTGCATCAGAATGAGAATGGATGTGTTTGCTTTATGCTCACACAAAAATAATTCAACGCTTGCAAAAAAAAAGAAAAACGAAAAAAAGGAGGGAAAAAGGCAATTGTTCTCTTTTCTTTTGTTACTTTCATTTCCAGGATTTTAAGGACAGGAGATGCTTGACCCCTAAACTTCCATTTAATACATGGTCTTCTTTAACATAACTTTTCCATGATAGCAAGTAAATAAAACCAAATTATAAAAAGGCTCTCTGGATGTACACTCAAACCATCAAATCTTACCTAAATCCAGTTGCAGAGTGGAGGGAGCGTTTGATCGGCCGTTGCTTTCCTGTTGTTACATTTATCTGTCGCATGACTGTTTGGGGATTTAATGACAATTAGGTGTTCATGTGCAATTTCTTTAACAAAATAAACAACAGAAAAACTAACTTATCCTCAATAGAACTGATGCGACGGGATTTCCTTTGAAAAAGCTTTAACACTCTCAGCCTGGATAAAGTACCTTTAGAATTACTTTAATTAACTCATGAGTTTTCACCTGAGAAGTCCAGTCTGTATGTGTACTTGGCTGTGTAAAACTCCATCACACCACGCTGGTTCCTGTTGTAGCACTGCTCAATCTGAGCGCTGGTCACAGAGCAGGCTGCACTGGGATCAATCTGACAGGAAAATAAAAGGGGGGGGGAAAGGGTTAACCAGCCAATCAGTTAATTAACAGTTAGTTAAGAGAGTTGATTCTTTATTTAGGTCAAAGGCTTAAAATTTATCTGAAAAAACATCAATTCTTTGGTTTGACTTAAAGCTTGTCTTGTAAATCGATACATATATATTTGGAGGTTTGAGCTACTGGTGGGATAAATAAGACAGCTGAGTGTAACTCGCTGTCAGAAACTGATAAACCAGAAAAACACATTTTAAATCTGTTCATGGATTTTTGATGCATCATTGTTAAATTCCTTTTAATTGCAGTTTAACACATAACCTAAGTAGTGGCACATGATGGCCATTTTTCTGCCTCCCTACAATCAACCCAAGGCAGTGTTTTGTTTTTTTGTTTTCTATAAATGTATTGATGATGAGCTAAAAGGGGGAATAAAAACCTGCAGAGTCTGTCAAAATACGACCAAAGGAGGGGCGATATGCTGGGCATACAGAGTAAAGCCAGTTACAAAGTCTGCTATTGTGTATAAAGTTGTGGTATCATGTGAACTACCTCAAACATATGCCACACTCCACACTCAGCCAAGTAGAACCAGCACCAGTTGGGCTCTGAGGTGTCCATCTCCTCAATCTCAGTGGACTCCTCCTCTGACGATCTGATGGCTAACATAGCTAAATCTGAAATTAATAAGTGAAAACACGCCAACACACTTAGGCAAATAGCAACTAAAATACAAGAAAGTATGGGGGAGGGCCTAAGGTGGTGTTTTGGTCGTCAGACAGTCCTGACGTTGAGGACTTGTTTTCAGCAACGGTCGTGAGAGCATTACATCCTGTAAACAATTTCATACAATACAGGAAACTGCCATGTTGAACTAAGCTATCATTAGCGGATGCCGCACCCGACTCATCTCGACTCTACTGGTGTCTTACCAGTTTTCAGCCTGCCTCTGTCCTTATCGGAAAACAAAGCCTTCATACATGATCAACAAAGCCTCAGAAAAATCACAGGTTCCGTCTAAGCTTGGGGGACTAACGCCAAAAACCATTTTCGTTATCCTAGGCGTTGTTTACTTTTATTTCCCCGTTCGTCATACACTCCACGTCAAAGCGTCGACGTCATGTAACTCCTCCCTCCTTGAAATCAGGACTGTTTCCCGGAGTTTGTCCTGACAGGCGCACTACCGGTGCAATGTTATACGGCTCAGGTGTTTTAAAGTTACGCACGCGGTTAAAAAAGTTAATAAAATAAAATAAGAGGACTGTATGGAAACTTACTTACTGAAGTCATTACTCCCCCTCCCCTAAAAAAATAATAATCGCTGTAATAATCTAAAAATCGGGGGTAATAATTAGCTCAACCTGTCATTTTTGACTTATTTGTTTTTCAGTGCAGTCAATAAAACAAATACATTAGATATTATGTAAGCTAAATAATGACGGCAAAGTTATTTTATTGGTACCTGATTGTCTCGTACTACACTACAAAACCAATTTATAATTAATACTTTACTATTAATACAAACATTAGCACCGTTGTTATCATTTCGGACTGCGGTGCTTGTTCGCTTAGCTCATGTAACCTATTAAAACGCTGATATGTATTTTGTGTATTACACATCACTGTGTAGATGGCACAGATTACAAAAAAACCCCAAAACAAAAACCTGTTCATAAAAACCAGAGGAATGAATAATACATACATATATTTCTTATTTTTCTTCTACTCAAGCTGCATATTCATAGGAGAGAAAAGTCCGGCATTATTAACGTCACTGTTTGATTAGCAGTTATGTACAGACGATAACACAGACAACATAACAACAACGTATATACGTACACGCAACGTACAGACCAGCTACTACACACATATATATATATGTGTGAATTTGCATGTTATAAAATTATTTCCTAAAAGCTGTGTCGATGTTGATAATCATATGGTACCCTAGGCAGTTTATATAGTGGGTAGCATCCAGATTAATTAAGGCGTCTAGAAGTTTGGGTCCAAACACACATAGCTTACATACGCTACTATCATTATTCTACGATAATATACAATCGTGCATAATTTTATTCCATCTGATGACAATAAGTGCAATTTCTGCAATTACTTGTGCATAACACACGCACTGAGATGGCTGTTGTGTGCATGTGTGTGACATTACGCCGCTTGTTGAGACGTTTGAGTAAAATCCACGAGCATTTTCGTAGGGATGGCGCATCCAGAGCGTGTGTGGCTACTTATCCTTCAGGGCACACCCCTCAATAGAAAATAGAATAGAACCTTCCTGCAAACTTCGCTCATACAGTCGAGGAATTTCACTGTGGCGCTCGCTACAAGCTCACTGGTAAGTTGCATCAATTCAAATCTCGATGAGAAAGTGGAGGAAAAAATTAAATGCTATTTTTTTTGTGCCTTTTTCTCTTTAATAATCGTTATTAGGGCAAATGTGAGGCTCATCAGTTAAATTACAAAGCTCATGATCTATATTTGCATGCATGCAAGAAAGATGGGGAGAATATAACAGGTATGCCATGATATTTATTTAAATGCTGTACAAAAGACAGAAAGACCATGACTGAGGAAACAACCGGGAATGTTCCTGCTGCAGACTCTGAGGCAGAAAAACAGGCTCCTGAGGATGGGGCTCTGTCGAGGGAAAAATGGGCCAACAACATGGAGTTCATACTCTCTATGGCTGGTGAAATAATTGGCCTCGGAAATGTTTGGCGTTTCCCCTACCTGTGCTTCAAGAACGGAGGAGGTGAGAGGTTCTGTTTGTGGGAGAGTTGTTCTGATGGAAACATTCAACTAATAGATAAGGATCCTTCATTAAAAAATCAAAAAAAGAAACAAAAAAACAAACCCACCTGCTGATGAAATAGTTTGTGTCTATAATTTTAGGTGTCTTCCTCATCCCCTACTGCGTGTTCCTCTTCTTCTGTGGCATCCCCGTGTTTTTCTTGGAGACAGCGCTGGGACAGTACACGAGTGAGGGTGGGGTGACTGCCTGGAGGAAGATATGTCCCATGTTTCAGGGTAAAAACAAGGCTCACATTTAGGAACTGCGTATTTCTGACAGCGCTTTCTTTGTGGAAATTGCAAAAACAATAGTGTAGCAGTTAGCAGTAAAGAAAGTCACATATAGAAGGCTAAGTCTATATTCCAAGCTTCAGATCCAGTAGCTGACTTAGGTGTTATCTAACTTTCAAACGTAATTACATAAAAGGGAGGATTTGTTAACCGTGCATGGTGCTGGGACTTGCTTTTATATAATGTTTCTGTCTTCTTGTCATAAAAGAAAAGAAGACAGCAGCCAAAAATGTCCTTTAACTATCTAAAATGTCACTTGTCCTCTAGGAGTGGGGTTTGCGTCCCAAGTGATTGTGATCTATCTGAACATATACTACATTATTGTTTTGGCATGGGCTATCTTCTACCTAATAAACTCCTTCAAAAGTCCCCTGCCCTGGTCTACATGTGACAACTGGTGGAACTCTGGTAAGAATGCTTGCTTAAACCCATCTGTATTTGATAAGCAGTGATTTTTCTTTCAAGACTTAAGAGAAAACAGCTAACATTCTCACTTTTATCCCTCTTTCTTTAATCACTTAGACTCGTGCCACAGTCGCATGAGCATCTTTGCAAACCCCCAACTGTTTCAGGCCGGGTCCAACTGGTCATTCTTACACAACGTCACCTCAATGGACTACTATGAGAATACAACTTAGTAAGTTGCATTTTGTTTTTCTGAGTTGTACAAATGAACTGTCCCCACTCTGTCTGCTCAACTGACATTTTTTTTATGTGGACTTGAAAAGAGTCTGACTATGAAAAGGTTAATAGTAATCATGGGATTAAACAGCACAATAGCATCTCTGAAACGCACCCATGCTTTACAGCAACATCTGGACAGCATTCACGGCACTTGCTCCACGTTTTGTTATGTTACAGCCTTATTCCAAAAAGGATTAAAGTCATGTTTTTCATCGAAATGCTACACACATCACCCCATAATAACAAAATGAAAAACATTTGCTTGAAATTCTTACAAATTTATCAAAACAACCTGCAGCCCTTTGTTGCATGACTTCCCCTCTCTCTCCTCACTGTCCTGTCTATCTTCACTGCTCCACAGTCCAAAAAAGGTAAAAATGCCTATTTTTTTTTAAAAAACAAATTTCCAAGAATTACAAGCAAACTACTCTCACTTTGCCATTATGAGGTATTGTGTTTAGCATTTTAAGGTGAAAAAAATAATTGAATTCATTTTGGAATAAGGCTGTAACATAATTAAAAGGACAAGCGAAGCACTGTGAATACTTTCCAGATGTACTGTAAATGTTTTTCAGGGTAGGAAATGCTTACTTACTCCTACCTTGGGATAATATAAAGATAATATGAGGGTAAAAAGCAACCAAATAAATCTAAAGGACTTGTCAAGCTTTAGTTTAATGTCAAATGTTTGAAATGTGCCACATTTAAGGTATATTTAATGCAACGTCTTCTCTACATTATTATATTCACTGCTTTAGATATTCCTATTATCTTCATTGATTGGACATTTATGTGATATTTCTTACTAAAGTGGACCTATTATTCCTTATTTTCTGACACATAGCACATGTGCTACAACTGCATAAGACCACACAGGGTGCCACTCCTGTCAGCTGAGAACAGGAAATGGAGGTTACAATTTGCACAGGCTTGCCAAATTTGATGAGCCTGTGCAGGCTATTGTTGGTGGTGTAATTTGATATTTTCTTGGCACACTTGGGGCCCCTTGGTACCATCTGAGCATTAGTTAAATGCCACAGCCTTACTGAGTATTGAGTTGACAATGTTCATCCCTTTGTGACCATAGTGTACCCATCTTCAGATGGCAGCCTCAGAATGACACACCATGTCACAAAGCTCAGATTTTTCTAAATTGGGTTCTTGAAGATGCCAGCAAGTTCATTGTACTTGAATGGGCTCCACAGTCACCAGATCTCAACGCAATAGTGCACAAAAAGTCACTTCACCCTTTAAAGCCTGTTAAGATCCCAGTTACCTCTGTACAGAAGTCTGGACTAGGTCTCCATTGAAATTGCCTGAGTGTCTGATCCTAGGGGTAGTACCACAATAGTTTAGATGATGCACCACACTACCAACCCTGAATAAGGTACAATCAGTTTTGCCAGCAAATTTGCTACAAAATTTACTTTGGTGACCTGGACAGGTAGCCTCAGGGATCTGTTAATTCTTAAAGGCTAGAATAACCTATAAGATCCTCACAAAAGTAGATGTTCAAACTCATACCCAAGTTTTACCTTTTCATTTAAAAAGAAAATCACAAAGGGAACGTCCACATAATTAAGTTTAATTTCAGATCGGATACTTTATTAAGCAATTTAACAAGGGCAAAGCAAACGGCTCATCGATTATTAAGAATAAAATCAGTTTAAATTTTAAACATTTCAAGAAAGTAACACATTTTAAAATATAAAATAATGAAATCTAAACTGTTGCTAATAACTCATTACCAGTTTTGATGGGGCTTTAGTGGAGGACAGAAAGAACACCCTGGATGTAGATGAATTCTTTCAGAAATTCTTTCTGAGGAGGTAGAACCCATTACAAAGTTCCCAAAACTTCCTCTAAGTCCCAATCTATGATTCCGGTATTGACCAGAGCAAATCTCAAAAATAATGAATCCATAGTGGGTTGGAAAAAGAAGGATAAATCCACTGGGTGGTCTTCTAATCTGCTCACTTCAATGATGCCCGGAAGAAAGACATGCCTAATCGTTATCTGTAGAGGGTTTTATACATCCTCTGAGACAACCAACATCCCACTTTAACAACCAACCACCTAGTGTGATGTGCAATCGCCTGATTTGAGACATATCGTGTTGTTCAGACAACAGACAATTATTTAGGCTGGGTCCTTAGATGCACACACAGAGGTCAAGGTCACATTTGCACAGAAAGAAATACAGACAAATACACACACACACACACACACACACACACACACACACACACACACACACACACACACACACACACACACATGCAGAAACAGTGTGGGTTGAAAAATTTAAACATTAGAAT